TGTAAAAAGTTACTGAACATTCCCAGACTGGGGGGACACTCAGGCTTGTGTCCAAGAGACAAGACAAAAGCATAATGCTCTCCCCGACAAACCCAGAGAGTGACAGGTGTGGGGAAGAGATGGGAAACACCTCTGCAGTCCATCCTTTGGGTTGGGGTGGGCTTTGGAAGATCAAGCACAGTGTGAAGGGGCTGAGGAAAAGGAAACTGAGGAGGAAGCAGGCACTACCTGCAGTGTACTACTTCAACACTGCATGGCCGGGCAACACCCGTGGTGCTGATGCTCACAGGCACGTGCCAGCTCCTCCTGCAGCAGGAGGTGTAACCCCTGCACAGGCAGTTACAGTGAGGACAGAAGAAGGCCCTTCTCACCTAGACGAAGCTCCCCGAAATTGCCGCATCCAATCTTCTTGCCGACCCGGAAGTTGGGACCCACCATTAAGACTCCTGAGTTGGTTCCAGCACTCCGGCTTCCATGACTGCTCCTTCCTCCACCTGTCTTGGACATCCTTTTACCTTCCTCCAGCTCCCCTTTCCCTCCTCTCTTATCAAAATCCATAAGTTTGTGATACCCCGGCCTCTCCACGGTTACGCTGCTGCCATACAAATCCCAGAGCTGCCGAAAGTTGAGGGGTGAGGAGAAAAGAAGCAGGGCTCTTCTTGGTTAATACACCATCACGGTGAGCAGTGGGAGGGTGGGGCGTGGAGAAGGAGGGATAAGCGGCCACCCACAGGTGCTGGGTTACTGAAATGTTAGTGCTTTCCAAGGTCCCGCCGGGATTGTCATGGTCGCCTGTTACAGGGAGCTCTTTGGTGGAGGGAACATCCTGCAGAGAGGGTCCTCCCAGCGCGGCTCCTTGATCTCCCAGCTGTGGAAAGGAGAAGGAGAAAATTAGCATTTGGAAACAGGGAGGCAGAGGACAACTGAATTCTGCATTTCAGATAACTCCCACAATGATGAAGGGTGCCACAACTGAGAGGTGGGAGAGGTTGGGGAATCAGGACCATCATAGGGTGCCCCATGTGTAAAATGCTGACATAAATAAAGTGTGGCCACAGCAGGAGGTGAAATGTTTGGTGAGCACCCCCAGGTTGGAGCCAGCAGAGAGGAGAACAACATCCCCATGGGGAAGGGCTGACAGCAGCGGGGAGACCTTTGTAGACAATGGTCGGGGCCAGACCCAAGAGTCCCCAGAAGCGAAGGGCACACGTAAACCAACGCATTACGGGGCAAACCACATCTAGAGTGCAATTTCCCAAGAAGCAAAAAGAGGATATACAGGGTCCCTGCAGGTCCAGAGGCTGTGGTCAGCTGAGTCAGGGCGCTTTCCCCCAGCGCCTGCCTCCATGGTGGCTGGGCCGGGACCAGTGCCAGAACCAGTGGTGCCAGTGATCCAGTGCCAGAACGCATGGGAATGTGAGGAATGGCCACGCTTGGGGCTCCACAACAGCACACCCGGGCCTGCCAGGCTGGGGTAAAACCGACACCAGCAAACAGGAACCCAGGACTCGGTAACACCCCACTTGCCTCCAGAGCAAGCTCCTGATTGCCGCCGCTTCCTTTGCTCTCACAAACAAACCTGGATTTTAATTGCAAAGCTCGGAGCGAGGGACAGTGGCCAACAGGGCTGCTGTGACACTCACTGGCAGTAACTGGTGGCCGTGGATTTGCTTGGCGGTGGGGCAGCGCCTTGCTTACCTCATGCATGCAGCTCCCAGCACTTCCCAGTGTGGCCGGTGGGAAGCCCCATGCTGGTGGTGGGGTAACCTGGGGCTCCCCTCGGCCCCTGCAAACAGGCAGGGCTCAGCCCTTCGACCCAGGGAGCTGCTTCCCACATGCACAGCCTTGCTCAGCGCAGGGTGCTTGGGTTAGGTGACCTTTAAAGGTCCCTTCCAACCCAAACTGCTGCATGATTCGATGACATCGGCTCCACACCAGCCCCCCTGTGCAGCTGATCATGCTCACATGGGTACAACCCAACATGGGGGCCAAACTGGGACCATGGGGACCATCTTTTTTGAGGGCCAGGATGACAAGCTGGGGTCAAGAAGGAGCTGGGCACACCCTGGGAAGTCATGTGAGAGACAGACAGACAGACGCACGCTTTGCCCCCCTTTCATCCTCTCTGGCTTTGGTCCCTTGCTGTGTTTTGAGCCGAGCCAGGAGGCAGCC